TTCCCTTCCCTTCCCTTCCCTTCCCTTCCCAAACCTTCCCAAACCTTCCCAAACCTTCCCAAACCTTCCCAAACCTTCCCTTCCCTCCCATTCCCGGTGCTCCGGAGGGGTTTGGAGGGATGAGGAACCGGAGCTGTGGCTTTCAGGAGCCATCCCAGGGGTGGGAATTCCGGGATCCTTCTTGCACAAAACGTGACCTGTGCCCCACTTGCGAGGCGGGAATTTCGTCACTCCCGACGCTCCCGAGGCTCCGTATCTGATGATTCCCGACTCCCCTCGGGATGAGTGACGGGGAATTGGGCAAGACAAGGAGCTCCTGCTGCTGCTGGGGTGGGAGCAGGAGGGTTTTCCCTGTTCCATGTGAGTTATTCCAGAGGAAAAAACGGGATAAGGGCGTCTGGGGAGCTCCTGCCACGAGTTATTCCAGAGGGAAAACCGAGATAAGAGCTCCTGGCTGGGCTGTGGTCAGTGCTTGATGGACCTGTCTGGTGGACCTGGAGAAACTTCACTTGTCCTTGTCTGGGTAGGAAAAGGGGGGCAAATTTTCCCTGATTATCCCACAGCTGGGATGGTTCCGTGTGGATCGGAGGAGCGGGAGGCGTCACCCCAATATTTGGGAAGCTCAGGCTGTGAAATATCCCTGTTTGAGGTTCATTTGGCCTTCAAAGACGCCCTTTCAGGGGCCAGGCTGGGCTTTGAGCTGGGCTTTGAGCTGGGCCTGAGTCAGGCCAGGCCTTGGGGATGGGCTGTGACTCAGCCCCGTGGCCCAAACTGGGAGAGTCGCTGGGAAAACTCCGTCACATCCCAACCATCTCCCACCTCTGCTGGGAGACACCTCCTCCAGCTCTTCCAGTATCCCAAAAAGCTCCCCAAAATCTCCCTCAGCCCCACTAAACGTGACCATCGAGGGTGGGCAGTGGCTCTGTAGGGATTTAGGGTGCTGGGAGACACCTCCAGCTCTCCCAGAGGCCCAAAATACTCCTCAGTGCTCCAAAAAGCTCTCCCAGCATCCCAGAAACCTCCCCAAGAGCTCCCTCAGCCCCCTTAAATTTGACTATCAAGGGTGGGAGGGATTTAGGGTCGTGTCTGTGCCAGGAAGAGCCTTTCCCTGTGCTGGGAGACACCTCCTGCAGCTCTCCCAGCATCCCAATAAGCTGCCCAAGAACTCCCTCAGCCCCTCTAAACGTGACCATTGAGGGTGGGCGATGGTTCTGTAGGGATTTGGGGTACTGGAACACATCTCCAGCTCTCCCAGCATCCCAAAAACCTCCCCAAGAGCTCCCTCAGCCCCTCCAAAGGTGACCCTGAGGGTGGGGGGTGTCCCCGGAGTTCTTTAGGGCCGTTCCTGGGCAGGGACAGCCCCGGTTCCCCCCAAGCCGAGCCCGGGGGACAGGGGGGAGGTGACACTGAGGTGACTCCTCCGAGGGCCCCTCTGAGTCACCCCCAGCCCCGGGGGGGGGCCGGGACCTGCTCGGGCTTCCCGGGAGCGGTGAGTGATGTGTGGGCAGCTCCTGCCTTGCACAATCCCGCTGGAAAACGAGCCAGGATGAGTGATCCCGGGAGCCGGGATTAGCCGGGATGAGTGATCCCGGGAGCCGGGATGAGTGATCCCGAGAGCCGGGATGAGTGATCCCGGGAACCGGGATGAGTGATCCCGAGAGCCGGGATGAGCCTGGATGAGTGATCCCGGGAGCTGGGATGAGTGATCCCAGGTGATTTATCCCCGGTGTCACGTGGGGAGGCCACCCTGAACACGGGGAGGGGGGGTCTGGGATGTCCCTCTCCCGGCTGGGATGTCCCTCTCATCCCTTGGATGTCCCTCTCCTCCCTGGGATGTCCCTCTCATCCCTTGGACGTCCCTCTCCTGACTAGGATGTCCCTCTCCTCACTGGGATGTCCCTCTCATCCCTGGGATGTCCCTCTCATCCCTTGGATGTCCCTCTCCTCCCTGGGATGTCCCTCTGCCGGCTGTGATGTGCCTCTCTTCCCTTGGATGTCCCTCTGATTCCTGGGATGTCCCTCTCATCCCTGGGATGTCCCTCTCATCCCTCGGATGTCCCTCTCATCCCTGGGATGTCCCTCTTATCCCTGGGATGTCCCTCTCCCAGCTGGGATGTCCCTCTCCTGGCTGGGATGTCCCTCTCATCCCTTGGATGTCCCTCTCATCCCTTGGATGTCCCTCTCCTCCCTGGGATGTCCCTCTCCCGGCTGGGATGTCCCGGCGCAGGATGTGCAGTGTCAGGAATTGCCCCAGGACACGTTTCCCCTGGAGCTGGAGCCAAGTTGGGCAACCCGGCGGTGCCTCAGATGTTGGTGATTGCAGGGTTGGCAGGGACAGCCACGCCTGCTCCTCCAGGGATCCTCCAGGGATCCTCCAGGGATCCTCCAGGGTTGGCAGGGACAGCCACGCCTGCTCCTCCAGGGATGCTCCAGGGATCCTCCAGGGATCCTCCAGGGATCTTCCAGGGATCCTCCAGGGATCCTCCAGCGTTGGCAGGGACAGCCACGCCTTCTCCTCCAGGGATCCTCCAGGGATCCTCCAGGGATCCCTTGGCAGGGCGGCAGCTCTTGGGATGTGGCTCCTTGGTGTGTCCTGGGAGAGAGTCCTGGGAGAGGGTCACCTTCCTGGGAAAGGGTCACCTGAGAAGGGTCATCTTCCTGGGAAAGGGTCGCTTTCCTTGGAGAGGGTCACCTTCCTGGGATATGGTCACCTGAGAAGGGTCACTTTGCTGGGACAGGGTCACCTTCCTGGGACAGAGTCACCTTCCTGGATGGGACAAAAGGCTGCTGAGGTGGCTTTTCCACCAGGAGCTGACGAGGAGCCCGGAGCCCCTTCCCCCGGGGCTGCCTGAGCACAAACCCGACCCCTCGTGCTCCTGCAGCAAACCCTGGCTGGATGACGAGTGTCCCTTGTCCCTCTGAGGGTGACACTCGTGTCCCTTGTCCCTCCCAGAACGACATTCATGTCCCTCGTCCCTCTGAGGGTGACACTCGTGTCCCTCGTCCCTCTCAGAGCGACACCCGCGTCCCTTGTCCCTCCCAGAGTGACACTCCCCCTCCTCAAAGCCCGACCCGCTGCTATTTTTAGCCACAAAACAGGTTCTCAGCAACACGTTTGGCACATAAATAGCTCGTTTAGCACATAAATTGCTCGGGAAGGACTTCCCGGTGTTCCCGGCCGGGATGCACACGAGGGTGTCTGGAATGCGGCAGCTCCTCGGGCAGGGCCCGGGGTGTCCCTGCTCATCCCGGCATCATCCCGGTGAATCAGGAGGAGCAAACCGGGCTGTTTTCCTGCCCGACGCGGCGGGTCCCCAACACCAGGGAGGAGATGTCACCTCGATGTCACCTCCGAGCCCTGACAAACACCCCGGGCGGGAGTTGTGGCTCTGCGGAGCCGGGAAGGACGGGATGTTCCCGGCTCGGGAGCCCCTCCTGAGGACCCCCGCGGGTGTTTTTCTCCCCCCCCCAGACCTGTACACGGCCCCCGACTCGTGCGAGGGCCGCTGCGGGGAACCCCCGAGCGAGGAGGACGAGTGTCACTGTCACCCCGAGTGCGGGACCCTCGGCGGCTGCTGCGGGGACTACGACAGACACTGCCGGCCCGGTGAGACCCCCGGGACCGGGGGGTGGGCATGGGGGTCTCCCGCGGGGTCAGGGGGTCCTGGGAGGGCTTCATTACCCCCCCGGAGCGGCTCCATCACCTTTTCCTTTCGGTTCCGTGCAGGCGGAGACGGGGATGAGGATGAGGATGAGGATGAGGAGGCAGCTCCAGCCCGCGGTGAGTCTGCCCGGGGTGAGGGGGGAGGAAGGGGGGGAAAACAGGAGGAGCCTCGGGATGAGCCTCGCGGTGTGACCCCAAATCCCACAGGGATGTGCTGGGACTGTGTCCCTGTGTGCCTGTGCACCCCAAACCCCACAGGGACCCCCCTGGGTCGGTGTTCCCAGGGTCCTGTGCACCCCAAACCCCACAGGGACCCCCCCGGGTCGGTGTTCTCAGGGTCCTGTGCACACCAAACCCCACAGGGATGTGCTGGGACTGTGTCCCTGTGTGCCTGTTCACCCCAAACCCCACAGGGACCCCCCTGGGTTGGTGTTCCCAGGGTCCTGTGCCCCCCAAATCCCACAGGGATGTGCTGGGACTGTGTCCCTGTGTGCCTGTGCCCCCCAAATCCCACAGGGACCCCCCCGGATCGGTGTTCCCAGGGTCCTGTGCACCCCAAACCCCACAGGGACCCCCCTGGGTCGGTGTTCCCAGGGTCCACCGCACTTCTGTCGCTTTGGTGACCAGGGACAGGATCCAAGGAAACGGCTGGAGCTGTCCCAGGGCAGGGTGAGGTTGGATCTCAGGGAAAGGTTCTTCCCCCAGAGGGTTTTCGGACACTGAACGGGCTCCCCGGGGTTTGGTCACGGCCCCAAACCTGCCAGAGCACCGGGATTGTTTGGACAACGCCCTCAGGAGCTGGGATTTTGGGATTGGTGGGATTTTGGGATGTCACGGAGCAGGGTCACCCCTGGGAGGTGACAATTCCCGGCTCCCCCCGGAGCCCAGGGAAGGCTCCCTGTGGCCACCTCGTCCCCGTGGTTTTGGGGAGGGTCCGCACCCCCCTCACGCCCCCCCAGGGGTCTGATGGGTGCTGGATCACCCCCCGCAGCCCCTCCCGCCCCTCCCCACAGGTGGCTTCTCCCGGAGCCGCGATTCCATCACGGAACGGGAGCTCGTGGAGCTGTCGGAGCAGCTCTACGGGCTGGATCACAACCGGGCCCGGCCCGGAGACATCGCCCTCAACCCCCAGCACCGCGCGGGCCCCGGAGACACCGGACACGGGCGGGACCTGTCCCCGCAGCCGTGAGTGGCCACCGGGGGGGGCCGGGGGTGGCCAGGGGTGGCCCCGGGGCCACCAGGGATGGTGTGGGGAGGTCCTGTGGGGTCTGTGATGGGGCAGAACATCCTGTGGGGTCTGTGATGGGGCAGCGGGTTCTGTGGGGTGTGTGATGGGGCAGCAGGGCCTGTGGGGTCTGTGATGGGGGCAGGACAACCTGTGGGGTCTGTGATGGGGGCAGGACAACCTGTGGGGTCTGCGATGGGGCAGGACAATCTGTGGGGTCTGTGATGGGGGCAGGACAATCTGTGGGGTCTGTGATGGGGCAGCAGGTTCTGTGGGGTCTGTGATGTGTCAGCAGGTCCTGTGGGGTCTGTGGGGAGGGAGCTCTTCTCCCTTACCCTCTCCTACCCCCCCAGGCTCTACAAACACGTGAACGAGGAGCTGTTCTCCAGACCCACCTACTCCAGCTTCATTAAGCTGCTGGATAATTACCAGCGGGCCACGGGCAGGGAGGAGGAGGTGACGGCGGAGGAGCTGCGGGAGCAGGAAACCTTCCTGGGGGCGGCCATGGGCACCGAGCTCATGAGGACGCTCTTCGCCTTCCTCCGAGAGAAAAGTGGGTTGTGGGGCGGGGAGGGGGCCTCGGGAATTCCCCAAGGGAAGCTCCGGCCGGGTGGGAGGTGCCCCGGGAGGAGCGAGGAGGAGCGGGATGATTCCCGAGGGGCGGGATGGGGGGAGAGATGGGATGGGGGGAGAGACGGGATGATTCCCGAGGGGCGGGATGGGGGGAGAGACGGGATGGGGTGACGGGCGGGATGATTCCCGAGGGGCGGGATGGGGTGAGGGACGGGATGGGGTGAGGGACAGGGGAGCTCTGCCTCTCCCAGCACTCCCAGTGCCGGTTCCCTCCTCTCCCCCAGACCGCTACGACTCCGAGCAGGAGTTCCTGGAGGATTTGAAGGAGATGTGGTTCGGGCTCTATTCCCGAGGGGATGGAGAGCAGGATTCCAGCGGCTTCGAGCACGTCTTCTCAGGTACAACCCACCCAGCCGGGAGGGGGGAGCGGGGCAGGGGGGCCGAGGGCTCACCCTGGGCTGTCCCTCATGTTTAGGGGAGGTGAAGAAAGGGAAAGTGTCCGGATTCCACAACTGGATTCGCTTCTACCTCCTGGAGAAGCAGGGAATGGTCAACTACCTGAGCCACAACTTCGACGGGCCTGTGAGTGAGACCGGGGGGGGCTGCCAGGGGCAGCAGGGCCTGTGGGGTCTGTGATGGGGGCAGCAGGGCCTGTGGGGTCTGTGATGGGGCGGCACCACCCCAAACCAGTTTCATCCCAACGGGATGGATCCAGAGTATCAGGGATGGATCCACAGCACCAGGGATGGATCCAGATCCTCAGGGGTGGATCCACATCCTCAGGGATGGATCCAGAGCCTCAGGGATGGATCCAGAGCCTCAGGGATGGATCCACATCACCAGGGATGGATCCAGAGCCCCAGGGGTGCATCCACAGCACCAGGGATGGATCCACAGCACCAGGGATGGATCCAGATCCTCATGGGTGGATCCAGAGCTTCAGGGATGGATCCACAGCACCAGGGATGGATCCAGATCCTCATGGGTGGATCCAGAGCCTCAGAGATGGATCCAGAGCCTCAGGGATGGATCCAGAGCCCCAGGGGTGGATCCACAGCACCAGGAATGCTCCTCCTGCTTCCCAGGGTGGGGTGGGGTGAGCAGGTCCAGAACAGACCCCAACACCCCGAAGGGCCCCTCCAGCCCTCAGTGAGAGATTTGGGGCCGGGGGGCTCCTCCGGGGTCTCTCAGCCCGGTTGGACCCCGCTCTGTCTCCAGAGTGGGTGTGAGGATTCCCGGGACACTGGAGGGTCTGGGGGGATTCCCGGATCCCCCGAGGTCGGAGCTCTGACCCCCCTGTCCCCCCTGTCCCCCCTGTCCCCCCGTCCCGCAGTGGGACACGTTCCCCCGGGTGCTGGGGCTGCAGTTCAGCTGGGATGGGTTCCACAAGGAGGTCGGATCTGCCTTCATCGGCTCCAGCCCCGAGTTCGAGCTCGGCCTCTACACCCTCTGCTTCCTGGCGCGGCCCGGCCGGGCGTGAGTACCTGTGCTGGGCTGGCTGTGTGTCCTGGGGCTGGCTGTCCATCTGTCCTGCTCTGTGTGTCCTGGGGCTGTCTGTCTGTCTGTCTGTCCTGCTCTGTGTGTCCTGGGGCTGGCTGGCTGTCCATCTGTCCTGCTCTGTGTGTCCTGTACCTGTCTGTGTGTTCTGGGTCTGTGTCCTGGGTCTGTCTGTCTGTCCTGCTCTGTGTGTCCTCAGGCTGGCTGGCTGTCCATCTGTCCTGCTCTGTGTGTTCTGCTCCATGTGTCCTGGGTCTGTGTGTCTGTCCATTGTCCTGGGTCTATGTGTCCTGGGTCTATCTGTCTGTCCTGCTCTGTGTGTCCTGTACCTGTCTGTCCTGGGTCTGGCTGTCTGTCCTGGTCTGTGTGTCCTGGGTCTGTCTGTCTGTCCATCTGCCCTGCTCTGTGTCCCGGGTCTGTGTGTCCTGGGTCTGTGTGTTTGTCCGTCTGTCTGGGGTCTGTGTCCTGGGTCTGTGTGTCCTGTACCTGTGTGTCCTGGGTCTGTCTGTCCTGGGTCCGTGTGTCTGTCCTGTCTGTGTCTGCCCTATGTGTCTGTCTGTCTGTCTACTCTGTCTCTCTCCCGGGAGATGGGACTGTGGGACGAGGGCTCAGGGATGGGACTGGAGATGGGATTGTGGGATGAGGGCTCAGGATTGGCCCTGGAGATGGGATTGTGGGATGAGGGCTCAAGGATGGAGCAGTGAGGGTGTGGGGACACCGGGAGCATCCCGGAGATGGGATTGTGGGATGAGGGCTCAGGGATGAACCAGTGGGGTCACTGAGAGCATCCTGGAGATGGGATTGTGGGATGAGGGCTCAGGGGTGGAGCAGTGAGGGTGTTGGGACACCGGGAGCATCCCAGAGATGGGATTGTGGGATGAGGG